TTTGTGGTAGCAAAGAACTGGAAACTGAGGAAATGCCCATCAATTGGGGAAAGGTTGAATGTAATAGAATATTATCGTGTTGTAAGAAATGATGAAGGGGATGGTTTCAGAAAAACCTGGGAATATTTGTATGAACCAATGCAGAGCAAAGTGAGCAGAACCAGGAAAACACTATACACAGTAACAGCAATACTATAATAATCAGCTATGAAAGACTTAGTAATTCTGATCAATAAAACAATCTAAGACAGTTTCAAAGAACCCATGATGAAAAATGCTATCCCCCCTCTAAAGAGAGAACTAATGAACTCTGAGTGAAGATTTAAGCATATTTTTTTATTTTATTTTTGTTGTTTTGTTCCTTTTTTTGTTTTTGTTTTTGCAATGTGGCTAATATGGAAGTGGTTTGCATGATTTCACATTTATAATTGATATCATATTGCTTGCCTTCTCTATGAGCGGGGGAGGGGCTAAAGGCAGGGAGAGAATTTTGAACTCAAAAAAATCTTTAAATGAATGCTAAAAATAAATAAATAAATTTTTTTTTTGGGGGGGGAGAAGAAAAAGAATCATATATAAAAGCCCTGACCAGGAGACTCACATTGTCTGTATATGTTCATGTGTGTGCGCATGGCTATATACAGATACAATATAGCTAGTTTTTAATAAAAATTCAAGACCAGCTACGCTGTAGAACCGTCAGAAGTGAAACTGGATCTCAAACACAATTAAACTGCTATTGTAAACTGTAAGCTTAATAAAGGCGGGAACCGTGTCTTATCTAAACTTTATATATCCCCCAGAGCCAAGCCTAGTATTCTTCACCCAGAAGTTGTTTTAAATGTCTGCTGAAATTAAATGACATTCAAACAATGTCCAACATTGACCACTATCTAATTGCAGAGGAGAAATAAGCATGTGAGTCTATTCTTGCAAAGCCATTACAAAGCAAAAAAGTGTCATTTCTAATCTAGTAGCTAAAATTTACTCCGAAATTTGGGCTTCTGTTCTGGGATTTTGTATTACCATTTGGGGCAACAGTAAGGTGCACAGACCAACTGGAATATTGGAGTCAACCTCACAGGCTACTAATTAAATATAAATAGCCTCTTCCTCAAGAACTTAACTCCTATTCCCAGCAATGTTGATCCCACCTATTAATAAGTTAAAAAACATTAAGAGAAAGGTAACTATAAAGATGTAGTAGTTTATTAGACTGGCTTAGGCAAGCTCCCTAAGAGAGAAACCAAGGAGGATGACTTAAGAGAATGGGATGGAGGGGGACAACAAGGAAGGGAAGTTAGGAGAGTGTTTTTCTGCAAAGTACTAGCACACACTTTAAAAGATTTCTAAATTATTTTAAAGATTCTCTAATTCTTGAAGAAAATTTTCTTCTAACCATAACTGTAGGACTCAATGCAGTGATGAAAAATTTCTTTTGCATAAGACTGCTTTGTCCCAGGCTAATTATATCCTAGAAAGGAGGAATCAAATCAATTAATAAGCATTCATTAAGTGTTTACAGGCATACCTTGGAGATATTTTGGGTTTGATTCTAGACCACAGCAATAAAGGGAATATTGCAATAAAGCAATTCACACAATTTTATTTAGTATTTAGTTTCCTAGCACATATAAAAGTTGTGTTTAAACTACACTGAAGTCTATTAAGTGTGCAATAGTATGTCTAAAAAAATGTACATGTCTTAATTTAAAAATACCTGATAGTTTAAAAATGCCAACCATCACCCAAGCCTTCAGTGAGTTGTAATCTTTTTGCTGTGGAGGGTCTTGCCTCGATGTTGATGGTTGCTTACTAATCAGGGTGGTGGTTACTCGAGGTTGGGGTGACTGCGGCAATTTTTAGAAATAAGACAACAATGAAGTTGCTGCACTGATTGACTCTTCCTTTCACTTGAACACTTAGAGGCCATCATGTGGTTATAAATTGGCCTAATTTCAACACTGTTGTGTCTCAGGGAATAGCGAGGCCCAAGCACAGGGAGAGACAGGAGAACAGCCAATCCAAGGAGCAGTCAGAATATACACAACATTATAGTTAAGTGTACCGTCTTATATGAGTGCAGTTTGTGGTGCCCCAAAATAATTACAATAGTAATAACAAAGATCACCATAACAGATGTAATAATAATGAAAAAGTTTGAAATATTGCAAGAATTACCAAAATGCGACACAGAGACATGATGTGAGCACAAGCTGTTGGAAAAATGGTGCCAACAAGCTTGCTTGCTGCAAGGTTTCTACAAACCTTCAATTTGTAAAAAACACAATATCTGTGAAATGCAATAAAGAAAAGCACAATAAAACAAGGTATGCCTGTACTATATAGCCTAGGCACTATACTTTTGTGCAAAGACAAAACCAAAAAGCAAGTCCTTTAGGACTTGTTTACCCTGAAGGAGCTTACAGTTTATCCAGGGAGACAACATGTATTCAAGTATACTCAAAAATAAATGCAAGGTAATTTTAGTAGGGAAGGGAAGGCCCTGGCTCAGGAGAGACTTCATACAGAAGTTGGTGATTGAGCTGAGTGTTGAAGGAAACTCGGGATTTTAAGAGACAAAGGAGGGAATGCATTTCAAGCATAGGGCCAGTAAGCACAAAGGCATGGAGATGGAAGCATGCCATGAGTCAAGGATAGCCCAGAAAGGCTCATTTGGTTGGACTGGAGACTATGGAAAGGACAGTAAGGTACAATAAAGCTGGAAAAGTAGGTTGAAAGGTGTTAAGTGGTAGTGCAGTGAAGTGAAAAAAGTACTGGATATGGAATAAAAGGCCCAAGTTTGAATCCACTTATTACTTATGTGATCTTGGACAAATGACTTAATCCTTCTGAGCTTCTGTTTCCTCCTCTGTAGAATGAGGACATTGGCCAGTACATAAAAGTGACCAAAGGTGATAAACATACAGTTCTCAACAGAAGACTTGAAAACTATTAAATACCACATGAAAGACTGCTCCAAATCATTAATGAAAGCAATATAAATCTAAACAATTCTGAGTTTTCACTTCACACTCAGCAAACTGGTAAAGATAACCAAGGACGGGAGCAGTCATTGTTGAAAGTGTTTATAGAAAGATAGACATAATAATGCTCCATTGGTGGAGCTATAAATTGGTCCAATTATTCTGGAAAGTAATTTGGAATTCTGCAAAGAAATGACTAAAATGTCTACACTTTTTAACCCAGAAATTAATTTCACCACTAGGCATATACTCCAAGAAGGTAAGTGATAAAAAGAAAGACCTTATACACCAAAATTTATAGCAGCACTTTTTTGTATGCTAGAAACAAAGTAGATGCTTACTAATTGGGGGAAGAGCTAAAACAAGCCGTGGTGAATGGAATACTGATGCACAGTAAGAAGTGATGAACACAAAGAAGAGTGGGAAGACATGTGCCAATGGAGACAAAGTAAAATAAGCTGAACCAGGAAAACAATATACATAATAACAGGGTCAAACAGGAAGAACAGCAACAATAAAACCATCTAAACTGAAGGCTGCAAGGTTATAATGACCATGGTTGGCCCCCACTAAAAGATATGAGAATCTATCTTCCTTTTCAAAGTGTTTGACTAGAGGCGAGGAATACAGTTGTGGAACACAACATATAATATCACATTTGGTTGATATCTTGGCAAGTTTTGTTGAACTGTGGTGTTTTTTTCCCCTTGCTTTTCTTTTTTACTAGTTTCTGTTAAAAAGGATGGCACTCTGGAAGTGGGAGGAAAAATAGGCAGATATAAGAGATATAAAAAGAAAAGACAGTAATACAATTTTTAAACAAAAAGAGAGGAGGTTGGACTACATGACAGTCAAGGTTCCTTCCAGCTCAAAATTTATGATTTTAAGCCCTTGTTTAAACATATTCTTTTTCCTATACCTAGAAAGGAAGTGATTTTGGTTTGGAGGCTATAACTGCCACCTTCTCTATCTTGGTTGGATCATACACTCAGCCTCTTTAACTGGCCATGTCAGCTGTGCAGTTCCTCTTTGCTCAGAGAGCTAAATTCATCTCTTAGAAATGCTACTGGGAGGCAGGCCCAGGAGGCATTTCAAAGGCAGTTTCCTCACCATAAGAAACAGCTCTTTAACATTCCCTGAGTGTTTAACAGCCTTTGGTAAATACATCTGTTTTTTTCTTTTCGTGAAACCTGTATGTCACAGGCCACTAGAAAATATTCATGTACGAGTTGTCAACAATTTTGCAACATTTCTGTTAGAAAATCATTAGATCCTAATATCCTGTGTCACAATCTCTAAATTCTTTCTCCTCCTTTAATACTCCTATCTCCTCTTAACCACACAGTCCTTGCCTCACAAACCCTGAGAATGTGGGATGGGCAGAACTCATGTCCTAGAGGAAGGGTTTATTCTTTCACGAGAATAGGGCAAATACATTCATGTGGCAGGTGGAAGATGAAACAGCCTTCTTGTACGTCCCCTATGTCAGTATGCCTCCCCTAAACTCCCCCCACCCCCATCCCCCAGTCTGACATATGGTTGGGTCCAGCAATAGGACACAGCTGCTCCAAGATTCTAGGTCTTTCCTCTCTCTCCCCAGGACTCAGAGAACATATACTAATGCTTCTCAAATTCCCAGGGAGTGAGACAGACATTACTGCAACAGAGATGAAGGGATCCAAATATTTTGAAATAGCATGTCATTTCTATGAGTTGTATGTGCCTCCTTCAGCCTTTGCCAATGGAGTCTGTAGTTCTAACAGTTAACTATTAATGGATTAGATCTGCACCGATATGTAGTGAAACTCCAAAATGCTGGAAGGTGGGGAGAATACAGAATGGGGCTTAAGGGAGACACTCAGGGAATGAAGGGGGTTTATCTTTCAGCAGAACCACAAAGCAGAACCACTCCCTGCTTGTCCCAGAAGTCAATGCACTAAGATACCTCACAGACTTAGTACATAAACCAAGTATCCTAGAGCAAAATACATCATGATTTGAGTTCAGCCTTACCTCATCCCACTCTGAGGCAAAGGATGGAGACTTTTCTAGCCGCTTCTTCCCAATGCTGCAATTGGATAAGGACTCGCTCCTACTCCCCATTGTGGTATCTTCTGTTGGTGAGCAGGTCAGGAGATCAGAGTCTGACTTGGACAAACTGCGGCTCAGTTTAAGTTCAGCTTTTGGTCTGCTAGTGGGAGGGGCCCAGCTCCTGGTCCCACTCCAGTCTCCTGCTTCCTCGGCACCACGAGGGTGCTGAGATATTTCGTGCACCAAAGTTTCAGGGTCCGATTGGCTGTGGTTGGTAGGCAGGCCAGCTGAATAACCCAGTTTCTTATTTTGGTCAGGAAGGCTGGGCTGGGTGGATCCAGGAGTGTGCAAAGCAGCATCCTCCAGCTGCATAGCAGCTTCTTGACTTGTGCCCTGCCTGGATGACCCTTCGGAGCCACCCTGGCTGACGGTGGAAAGAAGCTGGAAAGGGTCCTCACTGATTTCACACACTGGAGAAGAGCCGTGTAGAAGACCTGAGAACTGCTCTGGGACCTGCCCGTCTAGTCCCTCTGCAGAGTCCTGGCTCCGGCTGCCCCTGCTCCTTCCGTGATCTAGAGGAGATGAAGAAAGAAAAATAAAAAATTACACTCATCAAAAGACAATGAAGTCACAAGTTTCCAAGTAAGAGGGGGGCAGGGGAACAGGATAGAGACTTAAAGGCAGAAAGAGCAAGGAAAAGGGAGAAACAGAGGGAGAAGAACAGTTCTGTATTGTTCTCAATGCTCAATTTGTACCCAAAGTCACTGCATTTATGAAATTCCAAACACTGGCCTGATTTATGCAATCTGGCAGCTTTCCTTGTTGTTTTATTTCTGTGAACATTAACAATCAGACCTTGCTATATAAGGCCTAAGAGGTGTTAACAATATCCTACAGAGAAAACACAAGTGAGAGAAAGTATTTGAACATGGGAGGAGAGTGAAAGTGAGAGTGTCAGAAAGAGAAAGAGAGAGGGACTGCTACTGGAGTATGGAAACAGGGGAGGGAAAGGGGGAAAGAGAAATGGAGAGGGAGAAGAAAAAAGAGAGGGAAAGGGGGAGGGAGAGAGGGGGAGGGAGAGGGTGAGAGAGGATGAGAGAGTGAGAGAGAGAGAGAGAGAGAGAGAGAGAGAGAGAGAGAGAGAGAGAGAGAGAGAGAGAGAGAGAAAGCAAGCATGAGAGAGCACAGGAGTTCTTGCTGGAACTAACTAGCAAGACTGACTCCTGGAACATCTGACACATTTCCATAAAGGCCAAAGTGTTATTTAGAGTCACCCTCCCTTCCTTTGGCAAGGAAAGACAGGGAAAAGTTGGAGGCCATGATACACAACCTGCAACTTCTGGAATGCCTCAACCTAAATGTGCAAAACAAAACAGCAGAGAAATAACTGTTTCCTTCCCCAGGGGACTGTGAACTCCACGCCTCATCCTTCCTCAGCAAGCACAGACTTAAGAATGTGAACATTTCACTCCCTTCAAATCCTCCCAGTTGCTCCTATTTGTTTAGGTTTAACCTTAGCTGATACCACTGAAAACAAAATGGTCTAATCTGTCAATGCCAGGACACATTTGCCATCCTCTGAAGACCTCCTGCATGCCCCAGAAACACGACAGTATTAGTTCATGAGACCAGCTACTACTGTATACACATCCAGGATATCAAATACCATTGTCTTGGAATAGCATGATTCAGAGTGCCAACCGGCACATATTGGCAATACCACCACATTTACCTTGGTCACCCAAGGCCCTCCCCACGTTACCTTGAGCCTAAGTTCTATCAAAGATTTTAACTCATTAAGAAGAAAAGAACTAAGGATTTCAGGCTAGAAGGCAGTTCCTAAAATGGTTATCAGTGACGTAAGTGAGCTACATTTGAAAGTAGCTCTTTAATGCTCATGAGTGATTTTTTTAAAAAATTTACCTCTCTTGTTTCTTAGAAGATAAAAGTGAGTCTGTAGGGTAAACATCAGCTAGTCTGAAAAACTTTTATATAAAATCAAATTATTTTAGAGCTGGAAAAGACTTTGTTGTTGTTGTTCAGTCATCTCTGACTTTTCATGACCCCATGGCCCATAGCACACCAGGCTTTTCTATCCTCCACTATCTCTCAAAATCTGTCCAAGTTCATGTTTGTTGTTTCCATGACATTATCTATTTTATCCTCTGCCATCCCCTTTTCCTTTTGCCTTCAATCTTTCCCAGCATCAGGGTCTTTTCCAAGGAGTCCTATATTCTCATTATATAGCCAAAGTATTTAAGCTGCAACTTCAGTATTTGGCCTTCCAGTGAATAGCCTGAATTTATTTCTTTTAAGTATTGGCTAATTTGATCTCCTTGCTATCCAAAGGATTCTCAAATGTCTTCAAAAGCATTGATTCTGCAGTCTATTCCTTATGGTCAAACTCTCACAGCCATACGTTGTTACTGGAAAAGCCCTATCTTTGACTATACCTTTGTCAGCAAGGTGATATCTCTGCTTTTTAGCATGCTGTTCAGATTCCTCATAGCTTTCCTCCCAAGAAGCAAGCATCTTTTAATCTCATGGCTGCATTCACTATCTGCAGTGATCTCTGAGCCCAAGAATATAAAATCTGATACTGCTTCCATTTCTTCTCCCTCTATTTGCCAGGAAGTGATCGATCAGTTGCCAAGATCTTTAGGTTTTTTGATGTTAAGCTTCGAGTCAACTTTTACACTCTCCTCTTTCACACTCATCAAGAGATTTTTCAATTCCTCTTTACTTTCTGCCATCAGAGTGGTATCATCTGCATATCTGAGATTACTGATATTTTTCCTGGCAACCTTAATTTGAGCCTTCGAGTCATCCAGACTGGTATTTCATATGATGTACTCTGCACATAAGTTAAACAAATAAAGTGACAATATACAGCCTTGTCGTACTCCTTGTCTGATCTTAAACCAATCAGTTTTACCATGTTCAGTTACAAGTGTTGCTTCTTGGCTTGCACACAAGTTCCTCAGGAGACAAATAAGATGATCTGGTACTCCCATGTCATTGAGGGTTTGCCACATTTTGTTGTGATCCACATAGTCAAAGGCTTTTGTGTAGTCAATGAAGCAGAAGCAGATGTTTTTCTGGAACTCCCTTGCTTTCTTCATAATCCAGCAAAAGTTTGCAATTTGGTCTCTGGTTCTTCTGCCTCTTCACAAACCAACTTGCTCTTCTGGTAATTCTTGGTTCACATATTGCTGAAGCCTAGCTTGCAGACTCTTAAGCATAACTTTGCTGGCATGTGAAATGGGTGCAATTGTTTGGTAATTTGAACATTCCTTGGCATTGCCTTCCTTAAGCCTGGGATATAAACTAATCTTTTTCAATTTAGTGGTCACTGAGGTGTTTTCCAAATTATTGAGGATGGTACTTTAACAGCATCATCATTTAGGGTTTTAAATAGCTCAGTTATTGTTTCCATGACAATATCTATCTGTTTTATAGATTTCATTACCTCCTCTAGCCTTATTGTTAACAGTGCTTCCAAAGACCTACTTGACTTCTCTCTCCAGGATGTCTGGCTCTAGATCAGTAACCACACTATCACGGTTATTGGTAACGTTAAGATCTTTCTTGTATGGTTCTTTTGTGTATTCTTGCCACCTCTTCTTAATCTCTTTTGCTTCTGTTAAATCCATATTATTTTTGTCTTTAATCATGCCCATTTTTGCATGAAATGTTCCCTTGAAGACTCTAATTTTCTTGAAGAGATCTCTTGTCTTTCCCATTCTATTGCTTTCTTCTATTTCCTCGCATTACTTACTTAAGAAAACCTTATTTCTCCTTGCTATTTTCTGGAATTATGCAATCAGTTGGGTATCTTTTCCCCTTTCTCCTTTATCTTCTCCTTTCCTTCTTTCCTCAGCTATCCATAAAGCCTCTTAAGACTACCATTTTGCATTCTTGCTCTTCTTTTTCCTTGGAATGTTTTTTGTTGCTGCCTTTTTACAAAGTTTCAAAACCCTGTCCATAGCTCTTCAGGAACTTTATACCAGATCCAATCCCTTCAATCTGTTCATCACTTCTACTTCTTATTCATAAAGGATGTTATTTAGGTCATACCTATACAGTCTGATGGTTTTCCCTACTTTCTTCAGTTTAAGTCTGTATTTTGTATAATAAGAAACTCATGATCTGAGCCACAGTCAGCTCCAGGTCTTATTTTAACTGACTGTATAGAGCTTTTCCACCTTTGGCCACAAAGTATCTGATTTTAATATTGACCATATTGTGATGTCTATGTGCAGTGTCACCTTTTGGGTTGTTAAAAATAGTGTTTGTTATGACCAGTGAGTTATCTTGACAAAACTCTATTAGTCTCTGTCCTGGTACGTCAAGGTCAAACTTGCCTGTTATTACAATTATCTTTTGATTCCCCTGCTTTAGCATTCCAATCTCCTATGATGAATGTGACTTTTTGTTGGTGTTATTCCTACAAGATGTTGTAGGTCTTCACAGAACTGATCGGCTTTGGCCTCTTCATCATCTGTGGTTGGAAGCACAGCCTTGTTATTACTGTGATGTTGAATGGTTTACCTTGAATTCAAACAGATATCATTCAGTCATTATTCAGATTATGCCCTAGTACTGCTCTTCTCACCCTTTTATGCACTATAAGGGCTACTCCATTTCTTCTAAGGGATTCTTGCCTATAGTAGTATGTGTAATGATCACATTCCCATACATTTAAGTTCACTGACACCAAAGATGCAATACTGATCTTTATAGCACTGAGCATACCTTTCGTCACCAGACACGTCTGCAGCTGAGCTTCCTTTCGGCTTTGACCCAGTTGCTTCATTAGTACTGGAGCTACTTGTAGTTGCCCTCTGCTCTTGCTCAGTAACATGCTGGACACCTTCTGACATGGGGGTGAGGGGTTTCATCTTCCAGTGTCATATCTTTTATCATTTTAATGCTGTTCATGGAGTTTTCTTGGCAAAGATATTGTAGTGGTTTGTCATTTCCTTCTCCAATGAATCACCTTTTGTCAGAACTCTCCACTATGACCTGTCCATTTTGGGTAACCCTGCACAGCATAGCTCATAGTTTCACTAAGCTATGCAAGTCCCTCTGCCATGACAAGGTAGTGATCTGGGAGGGGACAAAGAGGGTAATCAGAAAGGACTTTAGTGACAACCTAATCAAATGTCTTCATTTTAGCGAAAAGGAAATTAAGGCTCAAATTGGGTAATTTGCCCAAGAAGAGAAAATGGATAGAACACCTTACTATGAACTTAGTAGGCCTAAATTATAGTGCCAGCTCTGATACTTCCAACTTTGTGACCGTGCACAAATAATTTAACATTTCTGGGCCTCAGATGTCTTATCAAAGTTTGGTCCTCTTCAGCTCTAAAATCCTATGACTATATGATAGTAATTAGAATCCAGGCCTTGTGAAGCCCAATATTTCCTCAGGAATTGGGGGAAATTGGACACCTACTCTCCCAACTCTCATCATCACAAAGCTACCGAAAGAGCCAACCTTAAGTTCCACAATTGAGAAACTGATGAGAAAGATTACAAAATAAGTAGCATTTCTTATAAAAACAGAGTCCCAATGCATAGGGACAAGGACACCTGATGCTAGACCACCCACAAGCTGTAGCTTTCCCAAGTCAACCTTTACAAAAAGATACTAGGGACCACTTTGGATATGAAACCAATGAACAAGGATGGAAAACTTGGCTAGTGTCCCTGAAATCTGAACAGGGAGACAGGTCAGTTAACTCCCACACTCCCAAGAAAAGTAATTCTGTCTTCTGTGGAGCACTAAGCTTCTGGTAAGTCTACAAGGACAGTAAAGAGGACAGGTCAATTAGTTCCACTTACGTTCTACTCATTCAAAGAGATCCAGTAGCATGTATCCTGGCTTTCCCTTTATAAAATACTTGAACCTTTCCAGACTACCTAACATATCATCTCACAAAATGCACAAATGCACAAAAAGTCAGAAGACCTGTACATAAATATGGATAATATATCTCTGGAGATTAAAAAAAAAACTTTGATTGCTACAGTCTAAAATATCCTAACTCAACCCCTAAAAGTTGTTGGTTCATAATAAAGCACTGCTGCATCTGTCGCACAATTGATTGGGTGCCACAAAGCCCTAAACAAAAAGGGGTCAGACTTTCAAATTAATTTGCAGAATGAGGCATGGCTCATGAAGGAAGAGCATTTTTGCTCTTCGGTCAAGTGAAAGACTCAGAATATGGGGGAAATAGGCAGCCCAACGTAACTAAAGGTATGTCAGAAAAGTCAACTGCTAAAAACTACCTGTCTCCATATTCCATAGGAGCTTCTTATCCCTTACAGAGAAGTGGAATTTAAATGTCACTGCAGCTAGGTGGCATAGTGGATAGATTTATGAACTTGAGGCTAGGAAGACCTGAATTCAAATCCAGCCTCAGACTCTAACTCTCTGACCCTGTGCAAGTCATTTAACCTCTGGCTGCCTCAGCATTTTTTTTTTTAGTCTATTAAATTAGAATACTAGCACCTAACTCCCAGGGTGGTTATGAGGCTAAAATGAGATAATATTTGTAAAGTGCTCTGCAAGCCTTAAAGTTTTATCAAAATGCCAGCTATAGTTATTACTGCATTATCAACTCAATGCTGGTCAGCAGTAAAAGCTTTTTGGTCATAGGAGCACAATCTCTCATTTCTCTTTCTCACCTTTTCATTCTTAACTTATTTCCTCCTCCACGTTTCTACAACTGAAGAAGCTCATTAGCCTTTCAGGTGGTGTGCAGCAAAGCAGCTGGCAATGATAATGGCCTCTAGGTGGACTCAGAATTCTGCCAACAGGGTTAGTTCTGATGCTATGTGCACTAACAAGGACAGCTCTGTCCCCCAACCACCCATTCATGCCCTCTCATCAATGAAGAAAGAGAAACAGATGCCAAGATCTCGAAACCACATAGATGCAAAGGAGGAAGTGGGCAGGGTGGGAAAATAGAAAAGTTGTATGGAAGACAGGAATTATGATGAGAGGAGAAATTTCTATATGTCATAAGACTGTTCTAAAAGTCATAATCCAGAGATAATTTTTATGGAATATAGGAATGTATATATAAGAGAGGGAAAAGATCTTGTTTTATGCCTTTATAAATACAGAATCCACTAAAATGCTCCCCGTAAAAAAGATCTAAGTATTGCTGAAAAAGTTCTCAAGAAGATTTGACATATTCTACTATAAAGCAGTAATGATCAAAACTATTTGGTACTGGCTGAAAAGCCAGAAAAGTTGACTAAGTCTTACAGACTAGGTAAGCAAGATCTAGAAATAATCAAACAAAACAGTAGCCTGGTGTTCAGTAAACCTGAGGTTACCTACTACTGGAGTAAGTACTTCCTATTTAAAAAACCCCCCACTAAAATCATGTCTGAAACAACATATACAATCAATTCAGCTATAATGCTTGTTTTGAAAACATGAATTTGTTCCACTGTGACTCATATGTTAGGGAACATTTGAGCATAACGTGAATTTTGCATTTCCTTATGCATGATTTTATATATGAAAAACACAAGGTGAATGAAGAAAAACTATACCCAGCTGAACTGAGCTGCATAGGAATACACAAAATACAAACAAGCATTTACCTCAAATATCTAGTAGCTACCTCAATTCACTGTGTGTTGTCTTACAAGATTGTGTTTTGCTATTCATTTTCATATTTTTTAGCATTCCTATATAAAAAACACTCATCCAACATCCTAAATATGTGTAAGCATTCTAGTCCAAAAAATGCAAAAGCAGTGTATTAAGGAGAAACTTGAAATAATAAAGCATTTTGGAAGAAATAAGAACATGTGACAATCTCCTGAGCAACAGGCATAAAGAAATCCATATCGCAGACCATCAGAGGCAACACTGAAAATAAATGTCTATGACTAGAAGTGTTCTTTCTGTCTCTATTCTCATTTTTCCTTTAAGCCCTGTGTTTTTTATTAGGCAATTTGGCATAGCATGGTGATTTTTAGGAAAGCACAGGCGGTGTTATAGCAGAAGTGACTGAATAAGCTCCAGTTGCATACATGACCTAAATATGAAAGACCACATCATTCAAAAACAAAAAACAAAACTGGGAGGAGAATGTAAGGAGGTACCTTGCACAACCATAACTAGAGGAGAATTCTTTATCAAATCATGAATGAAATCAATGCAATTAGAATTAGAAGAACAGTTAATTGAGGCAACCTGCACCACAAATATGTCTAATAAAGGTCTGATATTCAAGATACACAAGACCAAGGGCAATGGTCTCACTTGAAAAGTTGCCAAAGTATTAAACAGACAGTTCAAAAAAAAAAAAAAAGAAAACTCTCAACAACCATGTGAAAGAATACTCCAAATCACCAATAAGAGAAAGGCAAATTTCAGTAACTTTGGTTTTACTTTACAGTCATCAGATTAAAAACATGAAAATGGCAAATGTTGACAAGGATAAGGGAAGACAGACACATTAATGGATTGTTGGTGGAGTTGTGAAATAATCCATCCATAATGGAAAACGATTTGGAATTATACCCAAAAAATTCATTTATAACTGTACCAACGAATCCAGTACTAGGGATATAACTTCCAAAAGGTGACAGAAAGAAAATGACACACACACACAATGCATAGATAACATATATACATACATATGTAATAGCAATGAAGTGGAAACAAAGCAGGTGGCCACCAAGTGAGGAATGACAACAAATTACAGCATGTGAATGCAGCATAGGGAATGTGGTTCACCTTAAGACTCCACTGACATAGGGAACTCCTGGGTGAAAGGACTTCTAGTAATCAGGACTATGCCGCCTTGGCAGCTCATAGTTCCTGGAGCAGGAGTTCTTGATCTGAGCTCCACGGACTCCAAGGGGTCCATAGATACACATGAGGAGGTCCAAAAACTTAGATGGGAAAAAAATTACATCTTTATCTAAATATAGTTTATTTCCTTTCTATTCTTAATAGTACAGATGAAGAAACTGAAGTCCAGCAAAGTTAAATAACTTACCCAAAATCACCCAAGTAGCGACCACAAGAAGCAGGATTTGAATCAAGGTCCTCTTCCCTAAGGATCAGTAATCTTTCCAATGTTTGTACCAGGATGTGGCAATAAAATATGAAGGGCAGTGGCAATAAAAAGTGAGAGTGAGTTTCTAAAAACGATATCAATAAAACAGGATGTGACATTTCCATTTTCTACTAAAAAAAAAAGGAAGGAGGCAGGGAGAGGATGGACAACCAGGCTCAAGTTCCCATCAGTTTGGAAGTAACTTTGTACGTCTGGACTTCAGTTTTCTCCTCATAAAAGAAATAATTGAAGTCAATAATCTTACGTCCCTTCCAGGTCCAACATTCCATAAAATAAATCAGCCTTTGGCATGAGAGTATTGTTTTTTAGTACTCAAACACTCTGCCTTCTACATTTATTCCAACCAGGATAAAATAGGCTTACAGGAATGTGAAGGGTTAACGATGTCTACCCAGCACCTACTTAAGCTACTACACTCACTGGCAAGAATGAGAACCTTAGGTAGATAGGAGCTATGATTCTGGTAGATCTAAGATAGATTAAGAAAGGGGGGCAGGAAGAGCAGGTTGGGTAAAGTGCCAGCACAGAACAGATTTTGAAAGAGGTCACAACTAAAAGTTGTGCATGACATAAACATCACTCTCCAGAACTATCTCTTGTCTTCACTCTGCAGGGGCATGCAGACTGTCAGTATATTACCAAGTAGGCTGCTGAGCCTCTCAGGCAGATCTTTTTCTTTAGCTTAGATCAATAATTCTTAACCCTTTCTGTGTCACAGACTGATGTGGCTGTCTGATGAAGCTTAATATTATCCTGTTTTGTTGCTTAAATTCATAAAAGAAGAAAATATTAAATTTCAATTACAGGTCAATGAAAATAAAGATGTAATTGTTTTTTTCCCATTCAAGTTCACAGACCCTTCTCCTTAAAATTTATCTTATAACTCTTGGATCTCCATGAACTCCAAGTTAAGAACCTTTACCTCAGATGTGGGGCAGCTAGGTGGCACAGTGGATAGAGTGCTGGACCTGGAGACAGGAAGACATCTTCCTGAATTCAAATCTGGCCTCAGACAACTACTAGCTGTGGGACCCTGGACATCACTTAAACCTTCAGTTACTTCATCTGTAAAATGAGCTAGAGAAGGAAATGGTAACTACTCCAGAATCTTTGCCAAGAAAGCCCCAAATGGGTTCACAAAGAGTCAGACACAACTGAAAATGACTTAACAACAACTACCTTAGATCTACCAGAATCATAGCTCCTATCTACCTAAGGAAGGACGTGGCTTATTGTACACAGAGATGCTTTAGGAAAGGGGCAAGTTGTTGATAGAACTGAGTTTTCCAGATGTTTCCTTATTCCCCCTTGATAAAATGGCAAATAGGCGATGACGCTTCTGAATATTCAGCTACTCTAATGAAAGGGATATTTCAACTTCTTGATGATTCTTACCGCCTGATGTCTCATTTTGTTGCATTTATTTTCTTTTAGGCTGTGAGCTACTGGACCAAGAAGCCAGTCTCACCTATGTCTGAATCACTACAGCATTCCACTCTAAAGGACTCTGAAGGACTTTAAAGTAATAACATCCAACATTCACACGTTTTTCAGTCGCTTCAGTTGAGACTAGAAAATACAGCTTATGTGAGGAAAGCTCCAATTCAAAATAAGCCCCAGACCCAGGAGAAAGAAGAGGGACTCAATTTCCTGTTAATTTCTTCACTTCCTCTACTCAGTTAAAGCTAGAGGCTTCAAATTCACCAGTAAAGGATGTACCAGAAATAATACAGGGTATAGCTTGTAAGAGCTGTTTTTTAGAAAGTCACTGAACTTTCACTATAGTCTGCCTATTGATATTAAATCCTCCTCTCTCCCAGGGTTATTATGTGAAAAGCACTTTGTGAATATTAAATTGTTAAATAAAACATGAGTTATCATCATTCATAACTGTAACATGCTAGCAGTGTGATCCTGGGCAAGTCACTTTCTCTGCCTGCTTCTACAGCTGTAAAATGGGGTTAACAAAAGCACTTAACCTACCAGGGATGTTGTGAAGATCAAATGTTTGAAAAGTACCTAGCACAATGCCTGGCACATGGTAGGCACTTGATAAGTGCTCATTCCTGTTCCCCTTCCTTTTCCTCTCCAAAAGGCTCTTCCAGATACTGCTATATCCAAGGTTCAGATCACCTTTCCCCTGTGCTTAAGTGCACATTCTAGACAGCTTAGAACAATAATGAGCATGAAACTAAAAGAAAACACCCTGTCATCACAGATTGATTTTTATTTTTTTAAAAAGATTTTTATGACTGTAAATTGTAGTGAGAGAAGAGAAATAATTTGGAGGTATAATTCATAGAACTTGGCAAGTCATTAGAAGCAGAGAAATGGTAAGGACACATGACAGAAAGGGAGAAAGTTAAATGTGAAGGAGGAACACTTTACAAATATCACTTGGAGGTTTTGTACTTTAGTCACTGAGAGAACAGTTGGCATTATTAACAAAACAGCTAAGTCAAGAGGAAAAGTTGGTTTGAGGGAAAAGAATACGAATTCAGTTTGAGGAATGCTAAATTTGAGGTGATGGCAGGAGATTCAGATGGATGTATCCAGTAAGCAGTTGGAAATACAAATCAGGAGCTCTGCAAAGAGGCAAATCTTAGGATAGGGTTTTGGGGTTCATCTGTACAGAGGTGACAGACAACTGGAACTATGAGAGAAGATGAATGTACCAAGGGAGGAAAGAAGGAAAGGAAGAAAGGAAAAGTGAAGAGTGAGGGAGGAAGAAAGACATGAAGGTTTGGGATGAGGAGAGAAAAAGAAGAAGATGATGATGGTGATGACAACAACTATGACTATGATGACAATAACTCTTATCTATGTAGCATTTTAAAATTTGAAAAAAGTATCTTCTATCAAAAGTAGCCTATACAGCAAGTACTTCAATTATTATCACTCCCATTTAAAAAATGAAAAACCTGAGGGTCAAAAAGAGTAAGCAGATAGTCTGGTCACAAAACTACTAAATATCAGAGGCACAATTTGAATCCAGATCTTCCCAATTCCAAGTTTGGCACATTATCTGCTATGCCACCCCACCTCTCAAAGAAGAAGAGGGGAAGAAAAGACAGAGAAAGAATGATCAGAAAAGTAGGAAAGAGAACTAGGAAAGGGATGCACTAGAGAAATTAAAAAAGGAAAGAGAGAGTGTCACAAAGAAAGGGGTAGTCAATAGTGAGAAAATGCCACAGAAATATCAATGAGAACAAAGGACCACTGGATTTGATAATTACAAAATCACTTGTGGTCTCTGAAAGAACAATCTATTGGTGAGGGTGGATGTCAGACTGTAAGTGTTTGAGAAGTGTATGAATAGTCAAGCAGTCTAACTCTTAAATGTTGTTGAGCATTTACTCCCCTGCCATACCAGGTACTATCGATGTGACCCAGGACAAGTTACTTAACACAAAGCCTCAATTTCTTCACCTGTAAAACAGACACAATACCTGCCCTGTCTACCACATAAAACCATTGTGAGGATTAAGTAAGATGACTTATAAAAAAAAAAACACCATTTTGAAAGCTGTTAACTTTCAACCATAAAATGTTACATAAATGTTTTGGGAGCAATAGTTCAAGAAATTAAAATCAAAAGAAGGTGTTTTGTGGTTTTGTTTTATTTTTTGCTTTGTTTTTAAGGATGGGGAAACCTAAGTATGTTTATAGGTGGGAGGGAAGGAACCAGCAAACAGGAATTATCAAGAAGGATAATTTCAAAATTTTCATTTAAGCTTCATTACCACTTCATGTTTTTTATTCTGAAACTTCTTTGTGTAATCTAGGCAGCTAATAAAAGAAGGAGGTACAAATTAATGGATATTAGTATAACCGAAAATTAATGGATAAATTTCCTTTCCATACTGACATCTCTTGTCACTTCACTTGAACTCCAAGATGCAGCTGGCAGTAGCAACTCAACAGAAAATACAATGACTGCAAAGAACTGTATGTAAAAATATAAAGACTTAAAAGAAAAGGGACACAGAAATGGGGTTTTCCTTTGAACACTAAGGGATTGTGCATAGGCTCCATAGCCACTAGGGCAACTAGATGGTACACTGGACAGAGTTCCAGGCCTGGAGTTAGGAAAACTAATCTTCCTGAATTCAAATCTGGCCACAGACACTTAATAGCTATGTGACCATGGACAAGTCATTTAACCCTGTTTGCCTCAGTTTCCTCATTTATAAAATGAGCTAGAGGAGGAAATGGCAAACCACTCCAGTATCTTTGCCAATAAAATCCCAAATGGGGTCAGAAAGAGTTGGACATGACTGAACAAAATGACTTCCTTTGAGCTGACTCCTTTTAGGGGTTAAAATTATCACTACTGTAATGATCTTAGTTTGGGCACTGGAGAGACCAAAGCCAAATAAGAAGTCTACTCTAGATGACTAAGTGTCTGTCAGTCACCTAGGGTCACATAACAATCGGTTTGCATGCATTTATTAAACACCTATATTATTCATTTATTTACATAATAACATGTGGTCATACTCATCACATTGCAGTAATTCTGAACTCTTGTTCATCCAACTCCATTCCCCACATCCCATCATCTGATTCCTTATTCCCTTTCAACCTTCTCCCACCAAAGTTTCGACTTAATTCTACCCAGACCTTTCATTGTGCCCTCTGGAAGACCTGTTACATAGGCAACAAACTTTCCTTCATCTTAATTCTTTTCTTCTCCCACTCCTTCCATCTACTAATACTTACTAAAACTTGGCTCCTCACTGATGACTTGGCCTCCCTGGTCACATGTTCCAATACTAGCTACCCCTACATTCATTCCCCTCACCTCACTGGTTGAGGTGGGGAATATATGTTATATAAACTCAACTGGGCCTTCACTGCTGTTAGGCAATCCTTCTGTACTTCCTTTGTCAACTCACTATCCCACTCTCCAAGGCAGCTCTTTCAAAGCTTTTCATCATTCCTCAAACCTCCTATGGCTCCTCTCCCCCCATCCTTTCAGCTGAGAACTCACATATTTTGTGGGTCATAATATTAGGTATCAGAATACTTCATATTTTACAGAAAAGAAACGAGGCCACTTGCCATGAACTCCCTTCTCCTCAATTCCTCAACTTCTATCACTCAGATGTCTTCCACATTCTCCTTCTTTACTCCCATCTTACATGATAAAGTGGACTTACTACTTGTTTAAATGATCTCATCCCATCCCACCTCCTCCCCTCTGTAATCCCCACTCTTTCACTCATTTTCAATCTCTTCCTCTCTACTGGCTCATTTTCAACTGCCTATAAATTCCCCCATATCTTACCTATCCTGAAAATACTTTCACTTTATCCTTTCATCCCTGCTAACTACCATCCTATATCTCTTCTTCCCTTTGTAGCTAAATTCCTCAAAAAGGTCATCTATAATACCTGCCTTGCTTTATCTCCTCCTACTCTCTTCTTAATTACAATCACATATGTTATCATTCCACTGAAATTGCTCTCTACAAAGTTACTAATGATCTTTAAGTTGTCAAATCCAGTGATATTTTCTCTACCTTCATTCTTCTGGCCCTCTCTGCATCCTTTGATACTGCTGACTGCTCTCTCCTTGATACTCTCTTCCTTCTAGTTTTTGAGGGTAGGACACTCTCCTGGTTTTCTTCCTACCTACCTGACCACTCCTTCTCCATCTCCTTTGCTGGATCCTCTTCCAGATCATGCCCTATAGCAGTAGGTATCTCTCAGAGGTCCTGTCTGAGCCCTCTTCTATTCTTCCTACTATTTCAACTTGGTAAAGTGAATCCCATAGATTTAATTACCATTTCTACACTCATGATTCTCAAATCTACCTAGCCTGCCCTAAACTGTCTCCTGACCTCCCATCTCACATCTCCAAAAGCCTTTCAGACATCTCCAACTGGATGACCAGTAGACATCTTGAATTCCATATTTTCGAAGTGGAACTCTATCTTTCCCCCTAAACAGTCCCCCTCTCCTACCTTCCCATTACTGTAGTAAGCAATACCATCCTCCCAGTCCCTCAGGCTTACAATCTAGGAGTTATCCTGGATTCCTCTCTCAACCCACCCATATGCAATCTCTTGCCAAAGCCTGTCAATTTCGTCTTTGAAACATCTCTTGACTATATCCCTTTCTCTCCTTTGACATTGTCATCATTCTGGTACAGGCCCTCATCACCTCACACCTTGATTACGGCAATGGCCTGCTGGTGGGTCTGCCTGCCTCAAACCTCTCCCCAGGCTCCAATCCATCCTCCATTTAGCTACTAAAATGATTTTCCTTAAAATGCAAGTGCCATCATGTAAACCCCACCCATCCCCAAACTCAACAAACCCAATGGCTCTTGATCACCCCTAGCATCAAATATAAAATGCTCAGCTGTGTATTCAAAACCCTTCATAACCTAGCCCCCTCCTACCTTTCCAGTCTCCTTACATCTTACTCCCCAACATGTACTCTTCGATCCAGTGACACTGGCTTTCTGGCTATTATACAAACAAGACATTCTATCTCCCTGCTCCCAGTATTCTGACTGTCCCCCATGCCTATAATGCTCTTCCTTCTCCACTCTGACTACTGATTTCTCTGGCTTCCTTTAATACCCAACTCAAATCCCATCTTCAACAGGAAGCTCCCCTAGACTCTTCTTAATTGCAATGCCTTCCCTCTGTTAATTATCTCCTATTTATCCTGTAGGTAGCTTGCTTTCTACATATTTGTTTGCATGTTGTCTCCCCTAATACATCAAAAGCTCTTTAGGGACTGGAACTGTCTTTTGCCTCTTTTTGTATCCCTAGCACTTAGCACAGAGTAGGCACTTAATAAGTACTGATTGATTGATTGAAGTCCTGTATTAAGCACTTGGAAAACAGGCAAACTGAAATATTCAAGAACTTTAAGGAACTTAAATGCTTTAGGGGAAACAACAGGTGCATACATAAGCAAATGTAGAATACACATAGACAATTATAAAGTATATTTCACTGGGGGGAAATCAGGAGAGGTCTTATATAGAAGGAGGTAGCACCTGAACCAAGCATTGAGGGGAGTTAGGAATTCTAAGAGATGAAGGATAGAAGGGTGTACATTTCAAAGACTGGGGACAGCCAGTATAAAGGGTAAAATGTTTACAATGCCAGTTTGGTTGGAATCTAGTTTGCTAAAGGAAGTAATAAATTTATAACTCTGGAAGACAGGCAGAAGCCAGACCATTAAGAGTTTTAAATTATTCCAGGTTCAGTTATTTATACCACAGAAATATCATGGGATCAGCTATATTACCATAATGATCATTTGGTCCAACTCCCCTTATTTTATAGATGTCAGCTGTGGGACCAGGAGCTCCCAAAGACTCTGGGATCATATGAATCACATCTCATCCTAGGGGCTGACCCTAAAGGATAAGTTTCTCTCTTTGAGTATTGTCTCCACCCTTGAAAATCTAAGTAAATCTCTTGAATAAAGCCTAAATATGACCCATATCTAGGTTTTCCCACACACAGGTAACAGGGTTTCCATTCCAACACAACATATAATATGTACAATGTGGGTACAGAACATACATACTGTTAAATTTGGGTAAGAAAACACTACTAAATTCATGAAGTTGCTCCTCAGGGGAAAATTCCACAATGACAAGTGGACAGGAGTTTGCTCCAGAGCAAACATCAACACTACAGATATTTTGGCTAAGCTCCAAACCTGACAAAACTTACAAGTTTCTGTGAGGGAAAAGAAGGCATATAATTTCTTATGCGGGAGCATCCTTTATATAAAAGGAACCTTTATAAATCACATACACAACTAAAAATACTGCCATAGCAAACAGCGGCTGGAAAAAATCTCTTCCACTCTCTCCATCTAAATCTGGAAGTGTGGTACAACAGAAAGCGATCTCCAGTATCCCAACCCTGTCACGTGCCCATGGGCTGTCAAAGGCTGGAGGTTAGGCAGACGGGTGGGAAATGAGGACCCAGGTTCCTTCTGGATTATAGAAAAGAAACATATACCCACTACTTATTTTCCCCTGGAAGGGATTGATTGCTTTACTTATGAAGAGGCTGAAATTATCAAGCAGTACTACTCCTGTGATTGCATTTGTATCAGTTGGCTATATCTCAGTTTTGCAATGTTCACTTGCCAGAGAAACTGAATTCAAGCAGAAGCATCCAAAGCAGGGCAGGGATGCAGAGCACTTTAGTTACTAAGAGGCAGCCGAACAAAAGTTTCTTCCTGAGGCATATGTGCCAACTTGGCCAAGGTCAAGACTCAGAATCAATGGCTATGTGCTCAGCGTGGATCCAAAAGAGCAGAAATGCTGGGATGTTTTTTTCTACAGGATTAATTTACAGCTTATTAAGCTGAGATACCTCAAATCAGTGCTTGCTCTGTTTTGTCACTTAACAAGGTCTCTCCTTTTATGTTGACCTCCATCCTGTAGATGGCTTAGCTAACTCTTCTTTATTTCACTTTTGAAAAATCAGGAAGCCTGTTCTAAGAGGTATATGACACAGGTTTTGTAAATAAAAATCGAGGCAAGGAACAGCAGCAGACTATGCTGTCATGCCACACCATAGGGCAGGAGTGGAGAACCTGCAGCCTTGAGGCCACATGTAGCCCTCTAGGTCCTCAAGTGCGGCCCTTTGACTGAATCCAAACTTCACAGAACAAATTCCCTTAATAAAAGGATTTGTTCCGTAAAACTTAGACTCAGTCAAAAGGCCATACCCAAGGACCTAGAAGGCCACCTCGAGGCCACAGATTCTCCACCCCTGCCACAGGGGATACCTTATTTAAACAAGCTGCTCTGTCCCCCAAAATATCTAGCATTCATGCTTCTCGTCTGTTCTTGTCACATACTTACAAAACCCTTTTATGACATTCCCCTCATGAAAAATTAAAAAAAAAACTTACCTTTTGTTTTTCCCTCCAATGGTACTAGCTTCTTTGTTTCTGCTGTTAGCAATAGCTCATAAGGATGCTCATCTTCCTCCTTGGGTGCACTCCCCTGGCTCCTACTTCTCATGACGGGGACCTAATGAAGAATAACACCATAATGTACTGTACTTCCTATACAGCCATTTAAAGCAAAAATGAAAATTTCTAGCTAACTGTCCTCCTTTTTCATGCAAGGGGAAGGGGGACATTGAGAAAGATGATATGAGCATGTAACTAGGAATCACTATTAGCCAACTTATCTAAATGCATCAAATCTCTCTACAGCCTTTCATGAATTCTGTTTTGACTTTGCATCAATTTACTAATGTAAAAGATGCAGAAAAAAGTTCCTTCGCTGTTTCCCACATCAAGAATAATACAGAGGGTTTGTTTTGTCTTCTGTGTGTATCTACAAATTATGAGAGATTTTTGGTCATTTTCCCCCAGTTGAGACCTGATATACAGACATACTATTCAATGGACAGAAATCTGCCCAGTTTGGAACAAAACTGACCTTTGCATTGAATCTTGGCATTTATTGAAAACAGAGCAGTTTGTTCTGTAGCCCTTCCTTTCCAAACACTTTGGAAATTACAAACCCTTTCTCCACATATCCCAGGGAGCTGCACTGGACAAGAGAAAAAACTTTCCAAGAGCCAATTTTCTTTCTCTTCCATAAAAGTATAGACTTAAGTCTCAGTTTTTCCACTTAGCATCTTTATTTAACATCTTTAAGATGGATGAAGGGAGACAAATAAAAGAGAAAAGACTCATAAAAGGCCTGTGTGACCTAGGGAAGTCACTTAACCAAAGGCATAATTTCCTCACATGTAAAATGGGAATAATATTTGCTCTTCCTACCTCAGTGAGTTGTTATAAGGATCAAATAAGATTATATATGTAAAGTGCTTTGTGGACTATAAGGTGCTATGTAAATGTCAGTCGTTATTTATCTATTTTGAACAACTTTAGCTGCTACTATCTAATGTAAGCTTGGATAAAAGAGTAAATTAAACAGTATTTAGAACTGAAAAAGCCAGCAAAACGCTTCTGATTAATTTTGATCTAAAATATTTTTGCCACTTGTGGACCTAACCAACTAGAGCTAGTCTTTGTACTATAACTTCAGTCTAAAATAAGTTGGAAATACTAAAGAGACAGAGAAAGAGAGAGAGGTAGACACACACACACACACACACACACAACACACACACACACACACACACACACACACAAAGAAGACAGAGAGGTAAAAGAGAAGATCCAAGGAGACAGAGAAAGAGAAACCATCCAGGAAAAGAGAGATAGAGAAGGGCAGTAAAGATAGCATCTATGATATTATTGATACTGATATACTGAGAGTAATATCAACATCAATGGAGGTTAGGCTAGTTTTTCCTTGAAGGGACTGACACATTCCTCAAGACTTGGCTGGCTCAGGGGACGAAGGACTCAGAATGCTGACATTACTTCCTCACTACCTGACTACAAAAACCATTCTTAGAAAACTTAAAGGAAGAGGTGGAGTGGTAAAAAGAGTGTCTCAGATGCCTGGCTGGTAGATGGAACACTGATAGGAGTTTTTCTTCAGCCGGATCAATTCAAGGCATCTCCAATTTTGTTGAATATCGTTCTTCTGCTATTGCTAAGTAAATCTCTTTTTGTTAACTGCTGAATAAACTATGAATGTCTCATTTTGTTCCAATATCAAACTCAACAACTACCAGAGACTGGTCTGAGTCAGGCCTTATCCAGGAAAATAGAGGTTCAAGTCCTGCCTCTGATACATGCTGGCTATGGGAACCCTGGGCAAGTCACTTAGCATGGAGGACCCTAAGCAACCATGAGGTACAAAGAAGGCGCTGACCCACATTGGTAGTATGAATTTCCTCAGCTGGGTATTCCCTCACAGGACCAGTCCTGAATGAATGTCTGTCTGTCTGTCTGTCTGTCTGTCTCTCTCTCTCTCACACACACACACACACACACACACACACACACACACATATACACACACAGACACACACTCTCTCTCTCTCTCTCTCTCTCTCTCTCAGCCTCAGACTTTGGTCAGTCTTAGCCCTAGGCAGTATCCAGAATTCTTTCTACATAACTTCTGCCACTACTTGATGATTCGGCCACCTGGCTACCAGATAGCATGGGTCTCCTGCTACCTGTCCTGCTGTGTCAGCTTAGACTGACCTCCCTGTATTACATTTTCTTTTAAAACCACAACACAGAGCTCATAACTTCCATCTGGGCAGTCAGGGCAACAGGGCTTCTTTTCACTGCATGCCTGGCACTGATGTAGAATGTTATGAATCACAGAATCATCACACATTTTTATTTTAGCACACTATCCTCCTTTTATAGGTAAGAAAAACCAGACTTGCTCAAGGTCTTAAATCTAGCAATCACAAAAGAAATTTATTCTGAACTCTAGCAATTATAACCCATCACCTCATTTGCACTAGAAAGCAGTATGTCTAAAGCAAATAAAAAGCCCTTTCTTTCCTTTTCTTTCCCAAGACAAAAAAGACACATGCCTTTCCTCTCTATCCTATTCCCTTTCTAGGCATTGATCACTTCATCCATAAAACTAGGGGACTATGACCAATGGCAAATGGAAGCAGATGTCAATGAAGAAAATCACTAACTTACTCTAGTGCTAATTGGCCTACTTCTAGTACTTGAATGCTGTGGACTCTAGCTGGACCTAAAGAAGGCAGCAGTCTATTTGGCAATAAAAGGATTTTTCCCTTTAAAAATGTATAGCTTCATTATGATCTGCTTATTAATCTGATAAACTCTCCTGGTGACAAAACAGTGTTATCTCATCTCCATAGCCAGCAACAGGTCAGCTAATAAATGACAAACATCAAGAACAGGGACATAAATTGAGGGTTAGAGGTAGAGGGAAGCATTGTGGCTGTACCTACATGTGTCCCAACTAGGGACTAAACAGTTGTGATCAGAGTCTAAAGTAAAGTCATCTTCAGCAGGTAACCAAAATGGGAGCAGAAAAAATAAGAAGGAATCAGTGACAGAGAGAACACAATCCGGACATTTTAGGTTCTTATGCATGGTACCATCTTTTATGCCAGGGTGGCATGCCAACTATGCAGCCCCACAGTGCTAAACAAAGAGCAATTGTGGACAAACAATAGCTGTGTGTTCTCTTGTGGTTCAGCATATCCAGTCTCCTGATATGTCTTTCCAGTCCCTGGGGCCTTGCCTAACGGGACATTATCAGAAGACTTCTATGGAACTGCGCAGTTGCATAGGTGAAATTTCCGAGGTCTTTCACCAGGTTCGTGATCATTCCAATCTACCAGGAGTTAGGCAGCAATGTTAATCACTGTGATCTTCTCTTGCTAATCCAACAGCCAACAGAAACGCAGGAACTTTAGGGGGAGGGATCAGCAGGCTCAGGTCAAAAAGAATTTGTTATCCCAATTGTTTGGGTCTTTGATCACTACAAAGCACTAAGCTCCAGTTGTCCTGATTTATATCTGGCCACTGATCCCAGGTGGCTCTGGAAGACAAAGTGAGGCTGGTGACTCTGCACAGCCCTCCCTTACTTAAATCCAATTCATTTGCAAGTCATGACATCACCTTCCTGATGTCAAGGTCCTCTTCAAGAAGAAGGAGGCAGCTAGGTGGTGCAGTAGATAGAGTTCTGGCCTTGGAGTCAGGAGGACCCGAGTTCAAACTCGGCCTCAGACACTTGACACTTATTAGCTGCGTGACCCTGGGCAAGTCACTTAAGCCCAATTGCTGCCCCCTTCCCCCCCACACACAAAAGAATGAAGGACAAACAACAACAACAATAAAACACTAGGCTACCTGGTTTGTTTAGCTCTGCATGTTGTATGCCTAATCAGATACACTGATCAACCTCCATATTTCTTAACCTATACCAAATAGTTTTGGAAATTACTATTTTGTAGCATAATTTGAGATCTGACACTGTTAAGCCCCATTCTTTACTACATTTTTTTCATTATTTTGAATTTTTTATCTTTTTCCCCCTATATTCCAGATGAAGTTCACTGTTATTTTTTCTAGCTCAAAGTAATCCTTTGGTTATCTGATCGATATAACACTGAATAAGTAAATTAACTTAGCTAGTATTGTAACTTTTTATTATATTGGCTCAGTTTGTCCTTGATTAATATTTCTCCAACTATTACATAAAGAGGATTTTGCAGTTATATTCATGCAGTTTTTGTGTGTGTCTTCATAGATAAAATCCCAAGTATTCTATATATTTTGTGGGGGGTTTTTAAATAAAAGTTTTATCTTTTCCTGCTAAGTTTCATTGGAAATATGAAAAAAATTGATGATTTATGTGGATAAATTTTACATCTTGAAATTTTGCAGAAGTTATAGTTTCAATTGATTTTTAGTTGACTCTAAAGGATTCTCAAAGTACATCATTATATCAGCTACAAAAGTAGTGATTTTTTTTCTTCTTTACCTATGCTCATTCCCTTATTTATACCCTATTGACACAGAGTTATCACTACTAGGCCCCATACCCATCAAAGACATCAAAGAAAGAGGAAAAGGACCCATATGTATGAACCTATTAATAGCAGCTCATTATATAATAGCATAGAACTGGAAATTAAAGAACAGTTCATCAGTTGAGGAATGGCTGAACAAATTATGGTATATGAATGTAATGGAATGCTATTGTGCCTCAAGAAATGCTGAAGGGGATTATTTCAAAGAAACCTAGAAAGATTTGCACGAGTCTATGCAGAGTGAAGTGAAAACCAGGAGAACAATTTATACAATAACAACAACAATGGGAAAGCAACTTTCAAAGCAATGAAAATTCTGGTCCAAACAATGACCAACTATGATTCCAGAAAATCAATGAGGAGGCATGCTACCCACCTGAAGACAGAGATGTAAAGGACTCAGAGTAGAAACTAAGATGTATTTTAAGGCCATTACCAACGTGGAAATTTGTTTTGCTTAATAATTATGTATACATGATATAAAGGTGTTTTCTTTCTCATTGGGGATTTGCTAATTTTTTATTTTTAAATTTTTTGCTAATTTTAACATTTCGGCTAATTGCAAACA